ACAGCTGTGTTGAACCTTGTAATGAAGATCCGAGAGTACTAAGAGTCAATTGGATGAAAAAAGATGTCAAAGGGATCAAAATTAGTCAAAATGTGATCACAAATCAATTTCCAATCGAAAAGTTATGCTTTGAAATCTCAGCCTCATATTGAGACCCATTTTTGACATAGGAAATGATCGAATTGGAAAATGATGTTTGAATAAAAGTTATAGCCTTTTGAGTTGGATTTCCAACGCATCTTGAATCACCTCAATCGAATATCGGACGAAAAAGTTATGGAAAAAATACTGAAAAAAGCGAAAACTGCCTTTTCCACTTGAAGTGGGCGCCGTGGCGCCCATATTGGGCACCGCAGTGCCCAAGATACTGAAAATAACAGTGAACGCGACGCCGCAGCGCCCATCTTGGGCGTCGAGGCGCCACCTGTGCGGAAAAACGAGATTTAATATTTTTCGAATCTTTTCTTGGCCCAACTCAACCTTGATTCGTCCAATAACTTCAAGATACTATAAATACCATTTAAAAGACCTATTTTCAAAGAGAATGGAAGGGGCACAAGATTGAAGGATTCAACCACACAATTTGAAGGAGGCAAAAATTGAAGACATCAAAAGGAAGAAGGAACAACATCAAGGAAGAAGATTGAAGATCTACTCAAAAGACTAGTTTTTTCTATCATTTTCCTTGTGTTGTTTGTTATAATTTGTATGATTTTTATTTATTACACCATGAATTAAACAATTTATCTAGGGATTTGATGTAGCTGAATCAAGATTATGATTTGATGATTTTATAATTATTTTTTTTATTTTCCTGCATATATTTAATTGTATCATGATTTCAATGTTTTCAATTGCCTGATCAACAATTGAATGATTTGATGCTTGTCAATTTTGGCGCTCGAGAGAGTGGGAATTTAGGCGTCATCATAAGAGTGATACAACATAGGTTCTATGGATTTCGAGAGAAAGTGTAAAATCTGTGAATCTTACTCCATAAAAGAATCGAGACTTCTATAAATTCTTGATTTTCAATTTGGAATAGAGATATTGAATTGGAATCTAGAATTATTTTCTAGCCGGCACTCGAGAAAGGGGAGAGGAATATATTAGGATTCTTGCTTTTAAATATGGGAAAATTAAATGGAATTATTGGAAATTGTTAAATCATAATTGAGAGTAAGAAGAAATCAATCCTTAGGCCTTCTGATATTGATAATTTGTATTCCCCAAATTTGTCACATCCAATTACGTTAGTTTAGTTTAAATCGTTCATTCATAAAACATCAATTCAATCATACATTCATCTAAATAAAGTAGAAATTGCATAATTATAGTACTTAGTGAAAATTAAATACAATCCCTGTGGATTCAACACTCTTATTTCAATAATATATTACAAAACTTGACATCGTATACTTGCGGTTAAACCACGTTGCTTAAAACGCGTGGCACCAGGAATCTCTACTTGAGATTTCTTTAGAGAATTATTATCTGAAGATAAAATATTCTCAAAAAAAACTTACTTCACGGGATTCAATAATAACATTGGTTTCCAGTTTAATAAACGATATGCCTTGCTATTTTGGGCATATCATACAAAAGCGCAATTGATTCCTCTAGGGCTCAACTTTGTCCCTTTATGATATGGATTTTTACAATAAGCAAGATATCCCCACACTTTAAAATAACCAATGTTCGATTTTCTTCCTTCCCACAACTCATATGGAGAAACCTTAAATCTTTTAAAAGGAATCCTATTAGGTCTATGACACCAACTTAATAAAACTTCACCACATAAGTTAGATGGCAACTGAACATTTAATAACATAGTATTTATCATTTCAACTAGTGTTTTATTCATTTTTTCAACCAAACAATTGTGTTCGGGTGTCTAGGTGCACTATATTAATGTATTATGCCATGTTGTTCCCAAAAAAAATTAATTCACTAGAGAAATATTCACCCCATCACCTCTGAGAATTTTTATCTTTTTATTTAATTGATTTTCTACTTCGACTTTGTATATCTTAAACATATTAAATGTTTCATCCTTATATTTTATTAAGTAGATATAGCAAAAACTAGAATGATCATCTATGAATGTTATAAAATATCTATTACCCCATCTAATTATCATTTCATTTAATTCACATATATCGAAATGAATTAAGTCTAGCAAATTAGATTTCCTTCTAACACTATGAAAATGTTTCTTAATCATTTTAGACTTAATACATAATTCACATTTATTATATTATATGTTTTCACGTGAAATCATTCTTTTTAAATTAGAAAAGCCAATATGTCCTAGTCTATCGTGGTATAAAGAAATTGACCCAAGAACATAATTTAAATTTGTAATTTTATTGATATTATTATCAATGTTACAAAATTTGACCATTCCATCAATAGAATAACATTTTCCAACAAATACACCATTCTGAAAAGTATAAGTTTGCCCGACTCATATATGGACGTTATTCCTTGTTTTCCCATCAAATCACTATTTACAAGATTTCTATTCGTAGTTGATAAATACAATTCATCATAAATGTAATATTTTTACCTGATGTAAATTGTAAGTCTATACTTCCCTTGCCAACAACATTTGATTAAACTTCATTCCCCATTTGATTGTGTTCGTCATCCACTTCTTGATAGATTTTGAAAAGGGGTCTATCATAGCACATATGTATGGTGACACAAGTATCATACCACCATCATTGAACCTTTACTTTGACCGAATTTATAATGCTCACTATAGCAATGATGTTGTCAATGGAGTTCACTTTTCCTTCTTGCATTGGTTGTTTGCGATGTCAACAATCCCGAGCATAATTTCCGAGTTTGTACACACATAACAAAAAATTTTGAATTTCTTCTCATTCTTGTTATCTTTGTTGAGATTTGTGGATTTTTCCTTATTGGAATCCTTGTTGTATTTGTTTGGTTGATCTACGACATGTGCTTTGGAAGTGGCCTCATGAGAATTTCATTCACATATCTTGTGTTGACTCTTTCTCAATTCAAAGATGTTTTTGAATTTCTTTGAAAGAATAATTTTGGAAATTGTGAAGGATTTTCCTTCTTAACCTTTCCAAGAAAATGTCAATTTCACAATGATTGCACCAACTTTCGAGGAGATTTATCTTTATTGTCTTCATTTTATTAACAATGATATGTAACTCATGGATTCATCTTACACAAGCAAGTTATCCAAAAACTTGAAATCATAAAGCTTAGAAATAAGAAACTTTTTGGTACCTTCCTCTTTGACCTTGTATTTGGTTTCCAACTATTATTATATCTCCTTTTTCGAGGTGCTATTTGTGTAAGTATTATAGAGGCGATTAGAGAGAGCGTTCAAAAATGTGTCATCTACATATCAATTCTTCTTCTTCTTTCTTCTTCCTTTCCGCCCTTGTTTCGTTGGTGTCATTTGGGGTTGGTTCTAACAATGGCTCTAAGCCTGGATACAAGATATAAAAGATCTTTAAGATTATAAAAAGAAACTTCAACTTGTCCTTCCATCTTGTAAAGTTCGACCCGCTGAATCTATCAAGCCATACAAAGTCTTGATTCATCATCTTTATCGTAGCCATGGTTGTCTCGTTCTCCATATTGAAAATATTGTTTGAGATTATTGAACAAAGTTGATGAGAAACGAAAATAAAATCAGTAACAAGAAATTTTCAAAATGGAAGGTTTGAATACAATTATGAATTGCTATTCTTAAATGATCTTTGTCGGCACCGAGGTAAGTGCTTGAAAGCTTTATGACAAATGGTTTGTAAGAGTAAACAAATCTTAATCCAAGTTTGAATCAAGCAAACAAAAATTGGAAAAGAAAACTAAAGAACAAAATTATAAAAAAACCTAGTTTGATCTTAGATTTTGGATGTAATTAAATCAATTTGATGCTTGTGATATGTTTTCAATTATGAAAAACCACACACACACACACACACACAAAAAATACCGTACACGGAAAAGTGCAAGAACCAAGCCAAAAAGTTGTAAATTCATTTAAAACGACACTAGAATTTAAAACCCCAACGAGTAAATTCTTGTTACTACGGCCACCGAGTACAAAATCGGGTGCCCGCCCTATTAAACAAAATGACCACTGTAATTACAACAGAAGGCCATCACTGTTTTTGGTTCTCGTGTTGTTTTTTGCTTTTTTTTTCTCATGGTTAATCATTTTGATGACTTTCAAAATCACTCATCGTTGTTAATTTGAACAATATCCTACAAGCTGTAAATTATTGTGTGATTTTGATATGAGATGCGATAGTAGGAAACATTGTCGGCATCAATATTGACAGAAAAGGCAGCTTGTTTCACGCGACCAACTGCGTTTTTGATTGATTTTGACAATATAAATCTATTGTTTGTTCAAAGTTTTTGGGAAATTCTTTGGGGGTTGAAGGCGATTGCTTTTTGTGTGAGCTCCTACCCTTTAGGTGGCAGTTGGTGAGATGGAGGCTCATGGCTCCAGGAAGTCTCCAAAATAACGAGTAAGGTGGGAGAAGAAGATGAAGTTATTATTATTATTTTTTTTTTTTTTAGTTTTGAATTTTAATTATTTGTTTGAAATTTATTTGTACTTTTTTAAAAGCTTTGCAAGTATTGTTACAATTTACTTTTTATTTTTCATTTAAATAGGAGGGCATATACGCCATTTTCAGCTTTTATTTGAGAAAATGAATGAAAAAATATGATTTCCACAAAAAAAGGTGAAAATAAGGGTTAAAATGCCAAAGAATGAAAGTTATAAACATTTTACACAATAATATTGAAGCATAAAAACGTTCCGTGTTAATTATCCTAAATATAGATATATTTATTTATTTAAATTTGATTTATTATTATTATTATTATTTGGCTGTAATGGTATCTTTAGCAATTTGTCTAGTATTAAGAGTTAGTTTTGTGAATAGATCACTTGAGGAATCTCCATTTGTTTAGATTACCTGAAATGTATAAACTATAAATATTTTAAGGGTACCAAAATTATTCCTTCATAAAAGCACGCAAAGTTATAGTCTTGAGACAAAATCCTCACATAACAGCAATCAAATTTCCCAATTAAAAGCTCGCGTATACTAACATGGGATTTCCAGTAAAAATATTTCTCCACAACTATATAAAACATGCATTCGTCATTATCAGCAGGAAGATAATTAACCACCACCGCCAGAGCCATATTTCTTGCCAAAAACAATGACCTGTAATTTGTCGTAGCCAGCAAGTACACCGGCGCCAGCAACAGCACGCAGAATGTTGGCTCCAGCACCCTTGAAGAGTGATTTAGCCCCTTCGTTCTTGATGATCTGTGAAAATGCATCCATGGAGCTCTTATATTTGACAGACTCTCCCGAGGTCATCATCATTCTTCTACGCACAGTGTCAATTGGGTAGGAGGCTAACCCGGCACCAATTGTTATACCCCATCCCAGCAAGAAACTGGCGAAGAAGTTATCCTGTCGTTGACCAAATACAGTAACACTATGTTAGTAGCCTGCAAACTGGCAACTTGGTCTAGAAATTACTAAAGCAGCAGGCGAACATAAATATAATATACTCATCAAACAGAGGAAAAAGAGCATGCCAAAGCACATATAATTGGGTCATCGTGCAATTCAAAGATCATCATGGCAAAACAGCAGAAACTGACACAGAGAGAAAAAGAATTTAGCCAAGCTGATGCGGCCGCCTTTCACTTCGACACCCCAAAGTCATGAAAACATGGAAGAAAAGGCAAAGCATCTTACGGATGGAAATAAAGTGGCAAATATGGGTTGATGGCGTATAACTGGCGGTCAGAATCAAGAGTTCAAAGTTCAGAAGTCTACTGACCTGCAATGAACCAACCAGAACTATAGGTTTCAATGAATCATACATTCCAAAGTATAGCCCACGGTAGAGAATAATTCCAACACATGAGATATTAAATCCACGGTAAAGCCCAGAAAGGCCATCAGATTTGAGTGTTTTTTTGTAAACATCAATCAAACCATTAAACTGCCTTTCACCACCCTTTTTGGCAGCCTTAGCATCATTTGCCAACCTTGTTCTAGCATAATCAAGAGAGTAGACAAACAGTAGAGACGAGGCACCAGCAGCACCACCTGATGCCAAGTTTCCTGCAAACCATTTCCAGTAGCCATCCCTGTCTTTCTTGAAGTTAAAAAGCCTCTTGAAGTAGTCTTTGAAAGCAAAGTTTAAGGCCTGAAAGCATATTTATTAATTTCAAATGTCAATGAAATGAAAAGTTATTGAACTAGAGAACTATCACCATCTTTTAAGCCATGCTTTAATTTCAATAATATCTTATCTCCAAAGCAGCAGAACCACAACTACTTTATTGGATAGAAATAGTTGATATGATTTGATAAAACATGGATAACCAAACATAATAAAACTGGTCAAGCAAGCATTTGCATGATGAATTTAAATGCACCCATTCCCTTGGTGAATAGACTATATCTTGCATGATATATAATTATCAAAGGGGAAAAAGAAAAAGAAAACAATGGTGAGGGCAAGGGACAGATAAGAATGTTTATTGACCTGGGTGGGGAAGTATCTGATAACATTTGCAGTGTTGCCTCTCCAGAGAGAAACTACTCCTTCATCCTTTATTGTTCGGGCAAAGCAGTCACCAATCCCTTTGTATGGTTCAGACAACCGACCAGATTTGATCATTTCATCCTGATTCTGAATCAAGAGCTTAACTCTCTCTATTGGAGCAGCAGCCGTCTTGGAGACAGCAGCAGAAACTCCTCCCATGAGGAAATCCACCATAAAACTGGAAAAGCCTTTATCCTTTTCGAGTGGAGCAGGAATCATAAAAGAAGATATCGGTGATATGGTTCCAAGTCCAGTCCCTTGGTATGATAGCAAGAAATGGCTTTGCAGACCTCCGTTGACATATGTACCAGTCAAATTGGGTAAAACAGCATTCCTAGAGTGCATGTCCGGAGAAATCTGAGAGAGGAGGTAAGATTGTCCATGTATCTTTTGATATACAGACGGATGCTGTGTACCATCTGCCATGTTAGCAAATCAATGTGGTGACCTGCAAAGAAAAAATCACGTTAATAAAAAGAAAAAATTCTGAAAGGACTCCTCAACTTTCATTTCATGGATGATTACAACCATAGTCTTCTCATCATTAGAACGCAACTGTAAGCAGGTTGAATTATAAGCGAAATCATATTCACATATTTCAAAGCAGCTTCTGTACGACATCCTGTGAGGATATCTAGTTCCACAAAGAAGTGAAAATTCCGTATGATATAGCTTGAACAAGTGTACAGAGATATAATATCAATATCAAAAGTCTAGATGCATTGATTCCCAATTGACAAACTCGTGAACTCTACAAGACTACTAGTGACTTCAGCAAGTTTAAAACAATATAACCATAATATTTTCACCCCTTAACTAGAGATAATTTTCCAAGGCAAATGCCATGAATTGTCTCATGTAAGTAAATAAGGTAGATAGGTAATTGCAAGTACATCTTCATAAACCAATTTCACCACTAAGTAACCATTATTTTTGAAAGCATGAATATCAACAATCATTTAACTTTGTGCAATTATCTTCCAGCATTTAGTAACTTTATCGCTATTTCACGATAAAATGTTCACAGCTTAATAAGTTCGCAACACAAGATAAAAATAATGATCCATATTCCTATGTTCATTTGCTAAAAAATTCAATACTTTGAACTTAACAGTTTCACACTATCACTAATTAAAGCTTGGCTTGTCACATAAGCACATTACAGGACTATCCATATGCTAAATTCAGTAGTAACAAATTACAAAATACTTCCAGAGTCGATCATAAAAGTAGACAAGGCAACTTGAGGAGGGGTACTTCTAGATCACTGGTTCAGTGAAGTCACCGCCATGGATGTCAGTTCATTGTATCATAGCCGAATTAACACTAAGTTCATTAACAATTCAATTTCAAAAGTCCATATCAATTCTAAAATCCGGGGTTACCTGAAATCGAGCTCAAGATCACTATATATATAACATCAGCGTCCCTCGAAATTCAATTACACATTCATAACAAACATGCAAAAGTTTATTATCAGCTAAATCAAGGAATAAAAAAAATGGTACCGATCAAATTAAACTAGAATTAAATACAAACGTTACATAAATATGTATTTGCATGTATCCAGAACCTGAGGAAGGAGTTCCCGAATGTACGGAAGGAAAGAGAGGGAGGAACTGGAGGAGTGAAAGATTAATCGCATTTCTGACGAAGAGCATTAGGTTTTACCGAAATTACCTTTCTGTCCCTGTATTTCCTGCAAAATTTCCATCCCTGCCATTGGCTTGATTGACGATTAACCCTTGATTGAGTCCCTTTTTTCATGGAAAAATGATTTGAGTCCATTTTTTTATTTTTTTTAGTAGAGTTGTATGTACAGAAGCTCTTTGCACAGAATTTAGGGCCCGTTTGGTAGAAATTTTGAGAATTGATTTTTTAATCGTGAGAAGAAAAGTGGGGTTCACATGTTAGAGAAAAAGTCAAAAATTACGGCTTAAATAGTAAAATAACGATTAAAAAATCAATTTTTTGGGGGCAAAAAATCCCTACCAAACGGGACCTTAGCCAGACAACATACAAGATGAAATGGGTGGGTGATTTTTTTTACATTATTTTATCACCCACATGAGGTCTACCATGTGAATAATCTGGTGAACTTCTATAGCCTCTTTTTTGTACAAAGGGCTAAAACCTTTATTTTTATTTTTTTTTTAAAGAAAATGTGTTTTAGAATAGTGATTTTTTGAGAATATGTGATAAAAAAATTATATTTAAAATTATTTTATAAAAAATGTGTGAATAAAAATCAGAATTGGGAAAACAAATTGGGGGGAAAAAAAAAAAGCAACTCAAACTTTTCACAATTGATCACAAAAAGTTGCACAACTTGGTACGAATTTTTTTTTTTTTTTTTTTCGATCACTAAAGTTTGTTTATGCTTACATATTGATTAATATGTTAGTTGGTCATTAAAGTTTATTATTTTCTAAATAAGACATTATAGTTAATAAATAGTTCAAACACGGTTACTTTGTTACCGTTAGTGAGATAAAGTGAAATTCAGCCCCTGTTTGGTACCCATTTTTTCTTCATTAAAATGAAAAATATGATCGTTATCAATTACATTAAATAACCAAATTCGAATTTCTATCTCTTGTGTACTGTCCGTAACGGCTATATTTTTCATTCTCATTTTTCTAAAAATGAGAAACAAACGGGGGCTCAATATGTCAATCTTAAAATGCATGGTTGACTCTATAGAATTATCCTTGTAAATAAAATAATAAATATTATAAAAAATAAAAAATAATTAAAAAATAATATAAGATTACAACGATATTTGTAAGCAATATTATAAACATTAATAGTTTAATAAATTTCATTTTTTGATTAAAAAAATCAATTAATAAACAATAAAATAACAATAAAAAATAACTTATTCGTTAAATAAATAAAAAAACATGTTTTTGTCGATGACTTATTAAAAAGATTAAAAATAAAACAAAATTGTGTCATTGATACCAATGCTTTTTATTGGAGATCAGCGATTGAAGACCATCCATAATTTTAGACAACATTATTGACGACATTCACATTGACATTGTAATTATTGAAGAATTGTGTGACGATGATCATCTACAGTATCGTTGTTGATAATTCTTACTTATTATTATTGTTCTCCTCTCTTCCCATCGATATAGACTCAAATTTCATCAATTTTCTTAATCTTTTAAAGCAATCCCATAAAACCATAATGCCTTGTGTAAAGTAGGGAGAATTAGCTATATTATAAACTAATGAACACTTTGTTTGTTTGGATATTTTTAGCCTCTTTGGCGATAGCCGTGAAAGTGGATTAAAAGATCTCTATTTGCTATCATGTTTAATTAATTATTTATTTTTATACACTATTTAAATTGAAAAACATAAAAATTATATGTATATATACAAAAATCTAGAACAACATCAGGGTATTCGGGAGGAGTAACACAGGGTGGAAAATTTTACCATCCCTAAAATAAGATTGAAGAAGTTTTAAGTACCTCGATGAATTTGATAAAAAAAAAAAAAAAAAAAATTATCACATTTTTTACTGTTAAACTTATATTTTTCACTCGATATTTTTGTGATTCCATGTTTTTATAACTTGCATCTTTAAAGATTTATTATTTGAATGACAATCATATTGCACATGCAAAATAGTTTTGCTCTTTTATAGTTTTTTACTAGTTGTCTATTTATATTCTTACTCATCAATAGTTTAGCGTGTGTTTTGGGAACCATATTTTCTAAACTTAGGGTCTGTTTGGTAGTAATTATGAGAATTGATTTTTTGACTGTTGAAGAGAAAAGTGAATCTTACTTGTGAGTGAAAAAATCAAAAATAATGATTGAAATAGTAAAATAACAAAAAAATCAATTTTTTGGGATGAACAATTGCTTCCAAACGGGGCTCTTACTGAATATCAATTGTGTCGAAAGATATGAGCAATAAGCTTTAAAAGCCTAGCAGATTATGAATCATATGAAGGATTAATGTTATTGTTTAGTACATATAACCATATTTTTATATGAACCAGAGAGTTAGATCTATTGAAATGACATATGATTGTCGTGTATATTATGACATCCATATAGATTTTTTTGCACATACGTTATGATATCATATTTTGAACCACTTTCTTATTGGAAAATGAAAAGGACAACCTCGTACAATACAATGAGCAAATTTTAATTATTTTCTTCATTAATATTGGTCGATGGTTTCTAATCATCTTTAACTGACGTGCTAATAAAGTACGTCAAAGTTTTAGCTAAACAATGGTACAAGACTATATTTGTGGTATGCGATACTATATACTACATTTCCGTAGTTGACAATACAATTATAGTATTATAAATTTTCTCTACGGCACTACCCCATACAATCGAACTACAAGAGCTACTCTTTCACTCAGGTTTGTACTTTGATTTTCATATAAAAAGAAATTGTAGGAGTATTAACATTGAAACAACCCCTAATTTTTATATGGTGATCGTGGATCTTACAATAAATAACAAAAATTTTCATTCATACTTAGATAATCTCATTTTTCCCTTTTTCTAGAAAAAATAATAATTGTATTTGCTTCTAAACATAGCAATATTTATACAATATTGATATTTTAATACGTTAGACTAAACAAAATTGGATAAAACAACTAAGACTTCTACCTTGTATATGTAATTCATTTTAATTCAAACCAATGTCCAACATATACATACGATGCTAAGATTGAACCATTCGACACAGAGCACTCTTGGACCCAAAAAGTAAGAAGAATTGCATTACCATTACAAAGTACACCCAAGAACCTCAACATTGTTAGGCCTCTTTCATTAGACTCCCCCACCACTTTAAATAGGAATGGTACCTCCCACATATATAGAAACGATGATAAGATTGAACCATTAGACATGGAGCACACTTGGTGTTGGTGACCGGGCTTATTTGTGAGCGGTAAAAATGGTTGTTTGTGAGTGCATTTTAAATTACAAATTTATGAAATGGAAATGTAGTACAAAACCAAATAAGAAAATTAAAATAAGAAGGAGTAGAAAACGAAGATTAAATCCGAGGCAAGTGTATTCACTCTCTCCTTAAGACAATATTGCCCTGCTACGGTGCTCATGGTTGGCGGCAATTGTCTCCCAAGATACAACGGATTCGATTTGTGGTAGTAGCACTTCAAACCACAAATCCGGCGAACTTTCGACGGAGTTTCCCCTCTACAAGGAATATAATATATGAAAAGAGATGAAGAAGAAGAGAATTGCAATTTTGAGAAGAATGAATACTCAATATGCAAATGGTGTACACTCAAAGTCATCCAAGGGGTCCTTTATATAGAGAATGGAGTGGTGTGATGAAAGGATTTGAGCCAAACCATGCAACCTTCCAAATAGGTGCCTCTATTCCAAAACCACAATTTCTCATTCATTTTTAAATTGGTTTATTAATAAACACCATTTCCAACAAACCAAAATTTTTTTATACTTTTTAATCACTTGTTCTTTGAAAAATTACTAATTAAAACATCAATTTTTCCATGGATGGATCCAGGATTGGATTCAAAGCTAATACAACCCTCTAACTTTTATTTTTATTTTATTTTATGAGAATTAATTCGTGATACCATGCATATGTACCCTCGTGCAAGTTGTTATGAACTATTCTTCGCTTGCAGACTTTTGTGCCCAAACTTTTTGTTGGCTTCATTGGTTACAGTTGGGAGGAGAACAAGAATGTGAGAGTTGAAAGAAACATACACTAGAAAGGCCAAATATCTAATCAAGAATGTTCGAAAATGATACAATTATCAAAAGACTGATGCAATTTGTAAATAGTGCTTACCCATCAACAATCCATGTGACAGTGGATCACGACACATTCTCCAATGAAATAAAATGCATCCCAAATTTGTAAAAGAATATGATAAATATTTATTACCACAAAGATTGCTGAAAGCTAAGCACTACTTACAAATAACATTAATCTTACCAAAATGGAACAATGGGGATGATCAGAGTATAATGCAAAATTATCTAATAAAAAAATTGATTCTTTTTTTTTTATCAAAAATTATCCACGTAAAATTTCCTTAAATAAGAGTGAAATGAATTTGAACTAAGAATATATGCCTACGAGCAATCACGTTAGGCCAACACTAAACAATAGAGTATACTTACTTATAAGCAGTGCTTACTAATTATCGATGCGTGACATGAATTGATTTTTCAACTTAAATCCTACATTTAAGATGATAATTAAGACGATAAATTAATTAAAGCAATCTAAATGCCACATTATTGATTAAAGCAATCAAATTCATACAATAATAAAAATAGGATAAATACAAAATTCATGCAACGCACGTGATAGCGACTAGTTTTATAAAAATGTGTGAATAAAAATCAGAATTGAGAAAAAAAAAAAAAAAAAGGAACTCAAACTTTTCACAATTGATCACAAAAAGTTGCACAAGTTGGTACGAAGTGTGTTTTTTGTTTTTTTTCTTTTTCAATTCGATCACTAAAGTTTTTTTATGCTTACATATTGATTAATATGTTAGTTGGTCATTAAAGTTTATTATTTTCTAAATAGGTCATTAAAGTTAATAAATAGTTCAAACACGGTTACTTTGTTACCGTTAGTGAGATAAAGTGAAATTCAATATGTCAATCTTAAAATGCATGGTTGACTCTATAGAATTATCCTTGTAAATA